GGAACGACGTCTGACAATGAGTCACCAAAACGACCGTGCACGCTAGTGAGTACTAAGGGCAAGCTGCCGCCGCTCGGTAACATTTCCAGCATTATGAGATGTTGTCAAAATTGACGAAGTCATGGAAAAGATGTTCGCTGGATGTGACGTGTAGAGCTGCGATCGACTTCTTGAATTGGAATATGCCGACGACATTGACCTAATCTGTGACACCTCACAAAAGTGCCAAGCAGTACTAGGCAGTTTAGCACTGTCTGTCAGCCTTTCGTGCTTAAAGTCATCGAAATGCAGAGTCCTTCTCCAAGATTGGTGAGGACCCACCGCTGCGCTGACCAATGGTAATAACCAGTCATACAGAAATTCGAGAATCTAGGTAGCTATATTAGCGTCTGTGGAATAGAGGATGAGATCACAGCAAAAGCTCTAAAAGCTCTTGCCAAAATCTGCCAAATATGTCGCCGCTGCAACCTCACTCTGGGTCTGAAGACCAATTAACAAAGCAGCCGTCCCTTCAACCCACCTGAGTGGTTGTGAAACCTGGTCCATCAGGTTGACAGAGACTTGCTACGTTCGACCATAGCTGCCATCGCAGCTATGGTGTGAACACCGAGTGTTCGGTGTCTCGTATTTGGTGGGGGAGGTGCGGCTGAACCGCCGAGCCCCAACATATCACGCACCAGGCTCCAGTGGCTGGGCCACGTGTTGCACATGCTAGCGAAACGATTCCCGCGTCGTACGTTGTTTGTGCGACTGGGGTGTGGATGGAAAAGGAGAGGCCAAGCGATGACTAGGTCAAGATGAATGAAGTCCCTCACTTCCAAGTTGGCGTCCGAAGGACGATGAACATGTTTTGTCCGATACACTTGTTGACAGCAAAGAGCCGACCACAAGTGAGTTTGTGTTGTTTCTTAGCTTTCTAACAAAGATCTCATACCTAACGCATAATACCATAGAATTCATTAGATCACTTGCTTTTTTAGTTTTTGTAGTCTGTAATGATGAGTAGCTTTCCTGAATTGAGGTGTTTGACACCTCAGAATAAAATGTATTGATGCCGACGATGATGTGAGATGGAGAAAGTCAGTGCTATTGGGAAAAGCCGAGTGCTATTCCAGTTCATCCGAAACACGGGCCTGAGAACACCATCAGTTAGAGGCAATAACCGGGATGGAGTGTCTCCTCGACTAGCCCGTTGGGCGGAGGAATTTGAAGAATAGGAAGGCCTGCTGCGACATTGCCACATGCCGAATCACCCGAGCCAAGGTGGAATTTGTCACACCTCCCATTTTGGAAAAAAATCGACATGAACTTACGGTGTTGAAACAAAGCTTCTGGATCCGATGACCTTCCTTCGCCTATCCTGAAAGATGGTGCCTGGGTGGACTTGTTCTATACAATACTATTTGAGACAATGAATATGCATCTGCAGGATGGTGACTGTCAACAGTCGTGCTCATCTTCAAGAAGGATTAGAGTACTATTTGCGAAACTTACGCAGACATTATCCTTATTTCCATTGACCCTTAACTTCACATGGGTAACAATCTTCGAGGACTTACTTATCCCCGTGAGAGTCGAGCCATCGAGAGCCAGATTGGTTTCCGCCCTGGTCGTAGTTGCATCGAACGTATATTTGCTCTTCTCCAAGTGTTAGAGTAGACGCACTTATGGACGACTGAATATAGCGGTCTTTTCACACCTGAAAGCAGCCTTCGATTCTGATGACCGCATCAGCTTGTGACGCCAGCTGCCCATAAACGGTGTGCCAGCTAAAGCATTTTTTTATTGTGATGTCTCTCTACAGTGCCTTGCGATGCCGGGTTAGGGTATACGGAAAGCTGCTCCTTGAGTTCTCCACGAAAAGTGGGGTTCGTACTTCAGCTCATTTTCTTACCGTTGTTATTTATTCCAGAAGCGTTTGGTCATAGCAATCATATTTATTGTACTTCGGTGCCCAGATCATAGCCGTTCAACTGAACTGAATTGCACTGGGCATTCAGGTCGACGACCACGGTTGCAGCACTCATATTCGAAGGTACGGATGAGCCATAAGAAATGCCTACAGATTGCTTTTTTGAGATACCAAACTGCAGTCGGCGTATGCTCATTCCGGAACGACAAAACGTACAGCGACCATATGGGTTGGTAACTAACTCCGAGGAACTATTGAATTCAGTATCGTAGCTACCTCGAGTCATCAAGTTGGCATCACCAAACTCGAAGCATAGAGTTACTGTCATCAAGACAATCGTACAGTATTGATGTGACTGTCCATCCCTGCACTCCATGGCCGACGGTTTCGTCCTGGTTTGGACTAAGATTAAGATGTAACTGCTTTCTGTGTTACTTGTTTCAAAGGTGTTGCTTACTGATTGACCTGATGTTGAAAGTCGTGAGGTAAGTTGAAAGTTACGGCTTGACAATCGATTCAAGCATACACAAACGGCAAGGTCAGAGGCTATATCTTGCTGGTCAGTTCAAGAAATCTATGCAATTGAAGGGCAGAATAAGGGTCTTGTGAGTGAATGAGGATACGACTGCTCGAGTTGAAAGAAGAGATGCGCACAAAGATTTCTACCTCTAGCCGTTGACTCAAGAGTCGGATCCACTGAGCAAGAGTACACAGCCCTGAAGTGTAACTGAAAGATCGAGCATAAGCGGCCTATAATGGAACAAGTTTCACGGCCAATATTGGAGTGCTTTGGTTTGCAATCTATGGGTTATAGGTTCGAACCGGAGTTAGTGCGGTTGACAGGGGCAGTATCCCAGTCCGCAATGTAACCAGTAGTTGCTTGGGAGCAGTTATTTTAAGGTTCCAGAGTAGTACCGATGCATGTACCAGAAAAGTTTCCATGTGCAGTTATTCAACTAGTTGACAAAGGTTGCAAAGTCAGGAACTGTGTCAGCTGCGCGCCATATCGGCGCCTCGCTGCCATGCGACCACCACCAGTCGTGCGCGAGGACGCCCAACCCTTACGCAGATTCAAACCGGGGACCATAGGCTGAGGGTCATCTTAAAGCACACGTTGTGCGGATGAACTGCAAATCAGGTGCGCAGACCACTCGGCCACCATCTGACGTCACGAACTGCACACAATAGGTAAACGGAACGCAAACTTCGTAAAACGACTCCTTCCATGTAAGGAAACCATCGAGTTATTGTTAAACGGTGATGAGAATAGTGCTGAGAATGCCTTAGATCATTACGCTGCAAGTCAGGTGCCAATAGAGATAAATAGAAATTGCCAAAAAGCGTAACTCAAAGGAGCATAAAAGTACGCGGTAAACTCTGAAATAGCTCTCGGTCAATTCGGTCTTCTTGAGTGCATACAATAAACTGAAAGTTGAGGCACTGTTGATGATTTTGAGTAAGTCTGGATGCTTCGGCAATCACAGTAGTACACAAGCGAATGTAGATTGACATCGGATGACTTTATAGGTTGAAGATCGTATCTAAACTTCTGTTCTGGTTACTGTTTAAATGAGATGACATCTTGCGCACTAAATGTAGATAAGTACGACGTTTGCATCAAGCACCCCATTGACAGTGAAATGGTAAAGATATATTGTTTCGGAGTGAGAAACCTAGTAAGACAACCAACCGAGTGTTTGTACACTTCGGTGATAGCTCTCACCGCCATCAACACAAATAAAACCATAGGCTTCTGCAACCGTGAGTAGGAAGGGTATACGTGTTGCCCACAAAGACAAACTGCTGGGGAGGTTTTGTAGCAATCATTAAACTTTTACCTCAGAACATGATGTCAAACGAACTGCGGATAATTTGCGAGTTGCGCACTCGTGTATCGAAGGCGAGTGCAACTTTCGGCAAACCAGAAAATTGGGTGTGGAAGAACCATAAGCTAACCGTTAGCGCCACACTGAAGGCACACAAACCAATGGCGCTGTTGATTCTCTGCGGTACCGGAACGTGGAAGCCGGACAAGAAAGATGTTGAGTGGAGCGATTCCAGCAGGAGTCTGCATCAGATGCTGCGTATCCGCTGGTGTGGCAGCAAATGACGCGAGTGGTCCGCCGGAACAACATGTACGGAGAGAATTGCATGCCGTTAGTTGTCACGATCTCCAGATGACCATTTGACTCGCCAGAGCAACCCTATCTCAGCCAATGAGTGAATCGCTAAGGCTACAACGTACATTGGGGAAGCTGACGTGGTTTTGGAAGACTTGATATAGCTCACCTGTCAAAAACAGAGTGCACCGCTCTATGTCCCTGCGAGCACTGAGAACGTAGGCAAATACCTGTCTCGGACTAGTGACCATCGCATAGCATCGTACATAGTTGGAAGGTGATTAAAGTAAACAAGAACGGTATCCGTTGGATAGCAGCAATGTGGTATTATGTACTCTCACGAAGTTAGGTAGCCCATTTAAACTGGGTTGTTTTCTACATTCAAGTAATCTTCGCTCTCCCTTAACGGAGCTGGCCTGGATGCTCGACAATCCGTAGTAGGATGGAAGATTGAAGTATCTGTTTCGTAGACCTGTACTTTTTTGGGCAGCCACACTAGTTGTCAGCGACAACGCGTTCGAAAAGTTAACAGCACTCTGTGGCCGACTCATTTAGTTGCTGGTACAATTATTATGGTAGTGCAAGCAGTGGTCTGTTAGTTTGTAAAGTCTGCTCCCCCGATTGTCATCACGGTAGATGAAATGGCAAGTAAATCGACTGAAATGCAGTATTTGGATTATGGCAGAATGACTATGCTGCGAGTAAAAAAATGTAAAAGGGCGGGGGAGCAATCCACATATTAAATGGTGCGATTGATGGTTTAGCGTCAACACTCGTTTAACCAGAAACCGAGTTGAGCAGTTGCGTGCTAGATAACGGTGGAAACCAAGAAGAAAAGAATATTCGTAAAGTGGCGGACAATAATGTCAGATATGTCAAAGCATCAAACGATAGGTAACAAAGGATAAAAAACGATAATCGAGGCCAGGCTGAAAACAATGTGGAGATAAACCGAGCCTGTGACTCACCTAACACTTGTTCTTTCATGTTCAACTTGAGGGAAGCGTTCTGCATGAGGTTCCCGATAGCAATTTATGTGTTCACGAGACCTCCGGCGATCCGGCGAAACAGATGCTGACCGAGAACCGCGCTGTAACGACCGATCTTTGAGCTTCACCGTTCGAAGGTCTTCGGTTGGTTTAATGTTTCGATCTCGGACGTAACGTCGCTCTTGAGCTGATTGTCTTTCAAAGTCAATATCTACACTATCATGCTCGTCTGAACGATATCGATAGTGCAAGGCACGACTGCGATTATGCCTAGCATCGTAGTGATCATCAGGTTCATATCGACGACGTTGAGGGTAGCCCGGTTCATAATCATCCGGAGAGCGGCGATGATAACGATGCCTCCAGCTAGACTCTTCATGACGACGAAAATGAGGCTCTTGCTCAATGCGTAAGCTTCGGCGATGGGAACGGAGCGGACTACGAGACCGAGACCGATGTCGGTGCCTACATACAAGTTGGTGTTGAAATTAATGACAGGTAGACTCAATTTAACTCGGCGTAAAACGGAGTGAGCTGGATACATAGCACCATGAATAAGTATTAGCGTCACGCAGTATGCGAACGGTGCAGACTGTGAACAAGAGAATGCTTAATATGGTCCCGATAAGACAATGGTTAGAATTGAAAACCTGGTATCAATGAGGGGATCTAGTCCGCAAACATAACACAACCATACCTCGAAGCTGAGGGATTTGAAGCTCCAAAAAGCGTTGCCGACTACGGAATTCCAAAAAGAATAAACAAGCATGAGACAAAATGCTGGCAAGCCGAAACAGAAAGAGCGAGTAAAGCACGGCCCCATCCACGGAAACTGAGAAGGATATACGAGTTGCGAGTGATCAATTAACAGGTTTCAGATAAGAAACGGTGGGTTTTCGCATGGCAAGCGTTTTCCGCATCAGAAGTCACAAATGTCCGTGTAACATCACTGCGATGTGGCGGATGTGAGTCGTCACCGAATGGTCAAAGCCCACGGCGTCACACTCGCAGATCGACCAGCGCCACGTTCCACTAGTTTACATATGTAGATTACATAGATACTTCGACAGCTGCAGATTCCGTCACCACTTCTTTTTACGCTTTTACTATTGATCACTATTTTACACGCACATGAACTCAGACTATCGCCACATCACTAACGATGTTGTTCCTCACCAGTAATTTCCCACTTCTCATATTTTAGCCATCTGTCGATTGCAAGCAACGTAACGTGCCTAATGCGAAGCATTATGGCCTGTAAAAGTTTGATCATGCTTGGCATGGTGTGCCTTGATGCATTATAAAACAAACTACGTATTAATTTATACTGATGACAACCGCTGCAGCAAGATCAACAATAGTACCAGTACACCGGTATATTGAACAGATGCTTTGCCACCATACAGTTATGATGAGTTTAGCGATGAGAACTAACGAGATATAGCGCAATAGGCACTTTAGGCATCCTGCAGCAAGGTCACTACACCCTGTCAACAAGTCAAACACAGCTAACGCGCGAAGATAACGAGGATGCGATACGCAAATGCGTGAAGCTGCAACCAACCGTTGCTCGTGTTCAGGATTTCGTAAGTACACGGAGGAAAGCAGTAAATAAATGAAAAGCAATGGAGCTGACGGGGTTATTTTACTTGACATCTGCCGAATGGGCACAAGGTCAAGTAGCCTGCTTCCACATAACGGTGAGGCGAAAACCATGGAAACAGCTATGTAGAACCCGCCCAAAGCAGATTCTAAAAATGCTGTTAAATATAAGTCAGCGGATCGTATGCGATATGAGATGCTTATATGCCATGACTGAGACGTTCCGATGGACGGACATTTGCGAAGCACAAATGATGGAGCAAAAGATGAACTCGCGGATCAGGTTATGAACTTGATCGCATCTTGCTCTGCAATTGTCACATTGGTGATGGTTGAACACGGAATGGAAGCGACTAGAAAGACGTCGACTACAAGTAAGATTGATTTGAAAAGCTGTTCGCTACATACTAAAAGGGTTGAGAAAAACTAGGAGCTACATAGATTAAGGAGACAAGGAACCTTAATACTTCACATACATGTAACTAGGTCCAGTAAAATCGAGATGTCCCTGACGAGGAGTTTAAAAGGCGTGAAATTACAAAGTACTGATCAAGAGCAGCATAATACCCAAGTGTAGTCAACGGTTACCTTCTATGAGCCGAGTGTAGCATTTCCATTTTCAGGCGATAGAATTCTTCCTTGGAAAGCACTTTGTGTCCAGCTACATTCGGGATCGATGCAGATAGAGCCGATGGGAGCGTGCTGGGTAACGCTTGCTCAGGAACTAAGCCGTAGGTGCCTTGATCACTATTAAGTTGGAACAATGGATCAACTAAACCCGTGGCCTGAGGGAGAGAAACGGCCAAGGCCGTACCAGCACTCCACTCGGGGCCACCAACCAAATGCCCTTGGAAGGGCACAGGGAGAACGACTTGAGGAGCAGCCACTGAGGCCTGCAAATTTTCTACACGCATATTATACAACGCGTTAAGGAGAGAGTTACTGCCACCATTAATATTTGGAAGGATAGTCGGTATCACAGGGTTGGGGCCAGAATAACTTAGGCATGGAAACTGGGAACTGGGAAGACAAGAAGCGGAAGCTAGCAGAGGCTGTCTGCCAGATCCCACCAACGTGGTACAAGGCGCACTTGCAGCCACAGCAGTACTTGTATTGCACGTTACAATAGGAGTGTGTTTAACGTTAACATCCACAACATCTTTGGAGTCAAGAGAACCACAGGAGGAAAGAGGCACAGAGTCAGCGGAAGTAGGGATTTGGGATGAAACTTTCGTGTCCCGTGCCGATTCTTGTACGATTGCTGGAGCCGATTCGACCTTGGGTTGAGGTTCAGGTTCTTGTTCTGCAGACTTTATTTGAGGACTGGATGGAGTAACAAAGGCCTGTTTTGGTTTTAAAACACGCCGATTATTGACGAAAACCTAACAGTCAACGGTAAACATGAAAGAGAATATTACCTTTTGTGAATCGTCAACTCCGAAAATGTCCTGCTGTGCGTTATTGGAGTCGGGGCCGGGTAACCCGGTTTCGTTGGCTAACCAGTCCCTTATCATGCTGCGAACAAGAGCATTTTCAAAGACGCTTGATTCGTGATCGGAAAGGACTGCCCCGCAATTGGGGCACTTGTGAGAACCAAGGACTTGAGAGTCGAAAACATGACCCATAATGCATTCGTTGCAGTAAGTCGTGCCACAGCAGGATACCAAAACGGCATCTCGGAACATCTCATTGCACAAAGGGCAGATGAACTGTTTGGGAGGAGTTCGTTCGGAAGGCACATATGGAGGATTCTCTTCCAAGGAAAAAGGTCGCTTGTCTTTTTTTCCTTGAGCATACGCTTCGCTGAAAAAAATTATAACACGAAACGTAACATACGCATCCTTAATTGGGACCATGTATTTTCCGGATTTCCCCAGATACGCACCAGGAGTACCGGCCTCAACTTCCAACAAGAAATCTTGTGGAATACCCGTTGGGCGTTTGACAGTTTTTACATCTATCATTTTGCCAGTGGTGTCCCGAACACCAGGACAATTGTGTATCCAATGCCCAGGAAGGCCACATTTATGGCAGATATAGGAGGCAGGAGGAATACCGTATGGTTTGGCTTTCACAGCGAAACTGAAAAATTTGATAATGAGTTAAGAATTATTACTTCTTTTCTGAGTATACTTCTGACGACCGCTCCATCATAATCTTGATTTTCTCCTCCTCCGGCAAATCTGAATCTGCCAAGTTAACGTGCTAAGGGCATAAAGTATTAGGGAGGAACATACTTTCTGTAGACGCGCATCTGCGGAATTGACCTGTGAAAATGAAACAAGATTGCAAACAGTAGTTAAGTTTGGATGTAGAATGAATTAATGTGTTAAATGAATTAATTCTCGGATGTCGACAGAAAAGAGAACCCAATGCGGACAGTTGCTTTTGAATTGAAAAGCACGGTAAGAAGAGAGTCCCTCGATTGATGCTACCAAATGCTGCATTTTAGACTGAGGTGAGGCACGCAACTACAGATCTTGATCTTTTTACTGTTATTCGAGGAATACCGCGTTTGTGTAAATATTAGAAAACACGATATATTAATTTAAGAAATAAATCGCCAGCTGTAAGTTAAGGCGTTTCGCTGCCACACGACCATCACCGGTCGCGCGTGGGTTGAATGTACTGCGAGAACGCCCGACCCCTACGCAGATTCGAACTGGTGACCCTATGGTTGCAAATCAGGCGCGCAAAACACTCGGTCATCGGCCGACACGATTTTTCAAGGCAAGAGGAAATAACAAACAAGTAGAATGAGCCACGCGACTGTGGTGGTGACAAAGTGTAGGCTCCATGGTCTGAATATTTGAGTAAGACATTTAGGCACTATACTAGGTCCCTTTTTTCTTCGCAGTACCATTCATTCCGTTTAAATGACTGATGTACTGCTCACGAGGACTATTCGTCATTTCATCCAACGCCAGTTCGGTCATGATAAATCAGTTTCTTACAGATCAGCAGGGAGCCTGGAACCACGTAACTTACATTTCATTAAAATGATTGCACCAGTACAAGAACGACTGTCCCTGGCTAATGAATTTGCCTGCTTTGTGACGATTAGGAATTAATTATTCTGATCTGATGAAGAGATTGGCAATTACAAGATGCGTCTGAGAAGTTCGGCGAATGCTCTCATAGAACAAAGGAAACGATGTACAAACAAAATACCTCTAGCGATCTTCCAAGTAAGCATCATTAGCCACAACACACTTCTGACATGGGTGGTAAAGCTGTTGGAAACTGTCGGCGAACGCTTCTTGTTGAATCGGTCGAGGAACCGTGGTCATGCGCTGCTGGATATCAGGGCTAATTGAAGGCGGGGAAACAAAAAGTAGTCCACCGGTGGAGAATAAGGAACGTGCTGAAGAACCCTGCGCTGAGCGAGAAAGTAGATCACGAGCATCGCTGTGTGGACGCGCGGCGGATAATGAGATTTTACTGTCTACCCCTGTAGTTTTGACCGAACCTGCTGGATGCGTTGCAGCGCTTTGATAAATTTTTGTGAACGATACTGCTTAGAATGTCCTTCATTCCCTTCAATTACTGTTATTCACAAAGACAGCCGCCGAACACCCGCAAGCATGTCACGCTCGGAATGTGTGCATTAACGGATGCTACAAAGAAATTCCAGCGGCTCACCACACAGAACATAAGGCGACACCGGGACCTTCTCGGTTTGAACAGCCTCTAGGAGTTACGCCGTGCGGAATAATCTGCGCTGAGACGAAAGAACTTTCCTGCATTTCATTCCCGAGCTCTCCAATCAAAGACTGAGCAAGTAGAAAAATTACAGTACAATTCCGTCGAGTTATGAATGATCAAAGGCATTTAATTGCGAAGTGTCAGCGGTTGCATTTGGTCAGTTAACCGTTTATCCTTGTTCGGTTAGGAATTCGGATTGGTGTCATTATTTCCGGGTATAGGATGTAGTTCTTGCATTGTACGTGCACCATTACACAAAAGCACTGGTTTCCGAAATTATACGTCGATACGTGTTTTGAAACAATTCCCAGAATCGACATCTATTAGTCCTTATGGTGGTGCATTCCATAAGTTTACGATTCCTCATTCTACACAAAGCTGATGTGATACCATGTTCGTGCAGGGGACCCTGAGTTACAGGGTCCGCAGGTGAAATTTTGGCCGCAGTATGAGAAAGTGATTCTAGTATTCGATGGGTCATAATAAGGTCAATTCGTACTCGGCGGTAGGAGAGTGTGGAGTCCGAGACTTTCACAACGTATTTCATACGGATTCCCTCCAAGACTGAGTAACATTCTAGTTGCAATGTGTTGTATTTTCTTTAGCTTTTCCGCTGCACACTGGGTTATCGGATGGTAAGCTCGGGCGCTGTATTTAAGAATTGGTCTGATGAACGAGATGAATAGGTGAGGGACGGTTTCTTCGGACCATGTGGAGAAACTGCATCGGAATGCCCAGAGCATACGAAGTCCCACAAGATGCAATTGCTCTATATTTTCTGGTTATCTCTTATCATGTCGCGAGAGCACTCCTAAGTCTCTGACAGATATGTTGGGGTGGAGCAACTGGCTATCAAAGGTGTAAGATCGAGTGGCTACAAGTCTGGTGATACTACTGAACTGATTTGCTTGCGTTAAGAGGGTTCCATTACAGTGGACCACGTTGACAGTCGAAAAAAGTCATCCTGCAGGCGAGCGCAGCCGTAGTGGTTCTCAATGACCCACCAGATTTTCAAATCATCTGAAAACAAAAAACATGGTGAGTGGAGCTGCGGCGGTAGATCGTTGATATGAGTAAGGAATAATACTAGCCCAAGTACAGTTCCTTGAGGCACCCACTGGTCGATGGAAACCAGTCTGTCAGGTAGTCATTGACTTGTACCCTAAGGTTCCGTCCCACTGAAGCAGCGTGCCACCGATTCTGTAGGTCCTCAATTTACGAAGAGTAAGTACCTCGTGGTTCACTCAGTCAAACGCCTTAGTAAAGTCGATGTACACCAGGTCAACATTTTTCGTTAGTTGAGAGCTCTTACTCACTGGTGCTTCGCGTACATCAAGTTAGTGATGTAGGATCGCCATTTCGTGAAGTCCTGTTGCGCTGGCATCAATAGGTCCATTGATTTAAAGAACGCCAGTAGACATTTTCACAACCTTCTCGAGAACCATAGATAATATGGAAGTCAAATAGATTGGTCTATACTTCTCTATTTTACTCGGATCATCACTCTTGGGAAGCTGTCCCACTATCGAGTATTTCCAATCGTTGGGGACAGATTGTTCAGAGAGTGATTTATTGAATAGGTTTGTCACGGCTGGTGAGATGACACTCAATAGGGTGAAGTGGGTCTGGTCTGGGAGCTTTTCACCATCGGGGTTTTGCGAGTAGCGGATACACTTCGAGTGAATGACATTGTAGGCTGTAGAGAAGAATGGTGCAACCTGTGCCAGTACTGAGTCGCCGGTTAACCGGAAAATACGATGAGGAAGTGCGAAGCTAAAGTGTCCGCATGTTCCGCGCTTGAAAACAGCGAGTGTCCTTCCAAGGCCTCCAAGATCGATAGCTAGACCGCAGATCTTAGTTAACGTTTCGAGAAGGCAAATATTCTCTTGAGGGCGGTTGTGGCCGAGGCTGCTAGCTTTTCTTCGAATTGCCGGCGTCTCTTGACCATTGCGACATTACACATGCTACGCTGTTTCTTGTACATCGTGTAATCTTTATCGCTACCCGAACTGATGTGCCTGTCCCAAAGTTTGCGACACCGTCGTGCTAACTGTTTACATCCCTCATCAAACCAATGCGGTTGGACAGGTCTGACTTCAGGGAAACGAATCGAGTACATAGCGAGTAAAGTCTCCACTTCAATATTGACCAATCAGAAAACATATTAAGCGTAGATCCCATGATCAGCATAGGAACCTATAGCATTTCTCGCAAAGTTGCATAAATTCAGAAAGAAAGTCTAGAATGTTGCAAAACCCTGTGCGATTTGCCAGCTGCCCTGACCTCAAGGGTGACGGGACTGTGTTCCCATTGGCCGGATGCTAAAAGGTTGGTGCGTCAGTAAAGTCAACTAAACGAGCTGCCCATTGACTGGGTGACACTTGTGAACTCACCATAGAGGCCATGGACATCAGCGCTGCTACGAGCTTGTATGCCACCCTTACGTTCGAAATACTGGACCACAATTGGTCTGAGAGCATTGGACTGCCGCATCAATGTGATTCCAGTGTCGTCAGTATGTCTTCTCGCGTTCGACAGAGTACCTCGTCACACATACGTGAATGAGTTCTGGATGCCTTCGTCAACGATGACTGGCAGCTCGTGGCAACGGTGAACAATATCAAACAGCCTACTCCTAGATTCGTTGTCCTCTTGATCAGGAGCCGAGTAATACGCAGGCGCGCGGTCTTAATCGGATTCTGTTGGAGGAAGACGTGTCTGACATTCTGGAATGAATCGCAAAGGACTCAACTCATACTACAGGAAATGCGAGCATGGACAGAAATGGACAATCGTACGGCAGCTGATCATTTGTTAACTATGACGAACACCACATCCCCGAAAGGATGAACAATGCGCGAACCAAAGGAAAAACGGAGGGAATTTGTTCGGCGATGAGAAGTTCTTTATTTGGATTGACGAAACACACTTCAACGTTTACTGCAAACGTAATCGTGGTCAGGCACCCAGAGGAGTAAAGGCCTGTTGCAAAGTTGCCAACAGTAGAGGCCTCAATTTGCATCTGATGGGGGCACTCATGATAGGAAGGAGTGTCACTGACCCTCTATCCCTCGAATGGCTGCGAAGCTATTGAGATAATCTGAAACAGGAGATGCAGTTCCGGCAAGTTATCGCAGTGTGATAATGCACCATGTCACACACGTCTTAAGGCTGTCGTCAGCAAAAGGATACGAGGAGGTAACCAATCTGAGATTGAGTCCATACTCCTCGTTCCTTAATCCTATTGAATGTTTGGCAGGTGGTGAAGGCCCCAGTGAAGAGTGAGATGAGACTGCCCTACGAGGAACTTCTGGCCGGGGATCCCCAGAAACATATAAGGCAGATGGAATGGAGATTGCAGTTGCTTGAACGCTTTGTTGGAGCAGCAACCAGTGTCATAAGCGTTGTGGGGTGCCGTAATGTGATTCGACATATCCGCGTACATTTTCACAATCGTTTAGAAAAACGTGATCACGTTGCTGACTGATTTTCGACGTATCTGGTTGTGTAGCACGTCACTTGGAGCGCGTAGTATACAAAGTTTAGGCAAAATATGTATGCA